ACGTGGTGTTTACGAATCTCTCTACTCCTCCAGCTTCGTGGGCCACGCTTTCCGCGACGGTGGTTGCCAGGTGCAGTTTGCCGCTTTGCGTTACTGCCGCGGGAACAGTGTCGATACACACCTCTCGCCACTACCACCGTCTGTGCATCCTCACCGCCAAGCTGAGCCAGCGCGGCGGTGAGTCGCACCTTGGGACACCACCCGCCTACTAACTGTTGTGGCCTGGTTCGCCCGCGAGGGACTCACTAGGTCGATTTCGGCCCCGGCCGGGGAGCAGGCCGAGGGAAGGTGTACGAGTGTAGTGTGTGGGCGTGTAGTTCAGTTGTGAGCACGCAAACGTGCTGCAGGGATTGTAGGTGTACCTCCTCGGGCGTGTGTACCCTTTTCTTGCTAATAATGTGTGTTCTTGAGATCTCCTGATGGCTCTAGCATTTTTGTGACCACGGACCGAGTCTTTGCTAGATTTTGGGATTAGCAACTGACACGAGTGTAATGTGAAGAAAAACAACAATAATAACAACAAATCACAGTTTTTTTCTTCTGTTGCGCTTATTCGCCGAGATCGAAGATTGTGAAAGGTGTAGATATCTATTGCTGTGTAAGGGATCGCCGAGATGTTTACAACAGTCTGACGGCTAGTGCGGTAATTGATGTTTACATGTTGTGGTTCTTCCGCATGGCTTCGTGCGAAGTTATCCTACTCGGCCGGTACTGCTGTAGGACCGGCAATAGCTGGCCGCTCAGACTTTACCGTTTCCTTGACTGCGAGAAAGCATTTGTTGCACATGTATTCGTCTGTCCGCCCTGCGGGTGGACAACGGATAACTGCCGCTGTCCACGCGCAGGCTTTCGTTTCGGAGACGAGGTATGTTTAGGCGCGATTGGATTGGACGAAGCCTCCGCCCTCTTCCTGCAAACCAGCTGCATTTCTTGCTCTACACAGCATACCCGCCACTCTCTGGCCATTTTTTAGTTTCGCTTTAGACTGACTAAGCTGTACTTGGGTCGCTCTTTACAGGAGTGTACTGCTGTGCCTCTATAGCTGCGAAGTACTTGGTGTTTGCATTCCGTTTTCGTGAGGCACGGGAGACGGCGCGCGCACGCACGATCGAGCATGTAATGCCCTAGTCAAGAACTGCGTGAGGTACACGTGTGATGCCCCCGGGAAACAAGCGCTATTTCCTTCTGTGTCTCTGCTCCCTCAGCTCCTACGTGTGGGAGAAGGCACGCAGAGGGGACATGTGGAGCGCATCCCCCTCTCACCCAACTTGACCCTCCAACCATCTCCCCCCGTCCCCCCGTTCTCCTGGTGGGTGTTTGCCACTACTGTTCTGCGTGTGTCATCAAATAGCGACCGCGCTTAACCGACTGAGCAATGAAAAGCCGTCAGTGCCAGCGGGTACGGTCAAGGTCTCCAGAAGGAGGACCAAATTTCTAAAACGCGCAACGAGCTGAATGCGAATGCCGAAAGGAACCTCTCTATAAAGTCCTTTCCTGAAAAACACCACTGACACGCTGCAGCTCTACAGCGCAGTACACACTTTTTCTCCTGGACCTATAAGAAGTCGCTGATGCAAACAAAGGGCGGAGGACGGTTTTTGTGTGTGTTTTTATTTTTAGCGTCAACCGGCTGACTTCGTCGGTCAAAGCTGTGTGTGTGTGTGTGTGTGTGTGTGTGTGTTTATTAGCATCGACTACGCTAACCGGCTGACCAATGAAAAGACGTCAGTCTCAGTGTGGTTGAAAACACCAAACACTTCTATCTGCCATGAACTGGGACCCCGTGAGGGTGCAGCATGGGAGAGGCTAAACTATCCTTCGGATCAAAGACAGAAACAGTAGCAACAGAAGAAAACTGCAGGCGTCTACCAAGGCTATTACCTTGTACTCGAGTTCGTTTAGGAGTGCTTTCACCATGGTCTNTAACCGGCTGACCAATGAAAAGACGTCAGTCTCAGTGTGGTTGAAAACACCAAACACTTCTATCTGCCATGAACTGGGACCCCGTGAGGGTGCAGCATGGGAGAGGCTAAACTATCCTTCGGATCAAAGACAGAAACAGTAGCAACAGAAGAAAACTGCAGGCGTCTACCAAGGCTATTACCTTGTACTCGAGTTCGTTTAGGAGTGCTTTCACCATGGTCTTCCTTGTTTTCGCTACCATCATTCTGATCCTCATTTTGACAAGAATCTCTGGGCAGTTCTTCCCTAGCCCTACGTTTTTTGTGTTGCGGAAGGTCATCTGGCTCAAACCCGTTGTTCTCTTCCACTCCTCCATGTTTTCCTCCTCCATCGTCGTCTTCGTCCTCTATTCTTCCCTTTCCCTTTCCTTCGTCACCGTCACTCCCAAAAGGAAAGGATTACCCTCATTACTATCGTTGTCGCAGAGATCCCAACCGATTGGCCCTGGTGGAAGTTGGTCGATCAGTAGCCCATGACGTTTGAACACATCGCGAGTTCGCATCGACAGAAAACGAGCTAGCTCGAAGGTAAACTGTCTCCGAATCCTGTTAGTATGAAAAGCTTTCAGGCGAACTAAGGCTCTTTCGTCGTCAAAATTCCCCCGGCAAAAAGCTTCGTGCGCCAAGTGGTTTGCGATAGCAACGATGAGTCGATTGGTGCCTTTACCACGACCATTTGTTGAAAAAGCAGCTGTATGGAGGGAAGATCTAGACGGGTTGAAAGTTCCCGCATAGTAATTTGCATTACTTACAGCTCGATCTTCGAGGGCGGATCCTGGCTTTTGCACCGACTTGTCGATGCTTCGACCTGCGGATGGGTTGACGATTGTTACGTCTATAATATTGGACTTGGTGCAGAGTTGCTGTTCCTTCTCTCCTGCGTGTCATCCTGGGGGGATTACCAAATCCATCTTGTATAGCCCCTTTCCCCTACCAGTGCCTGTGGTAAAAGGGGAAGAATTCACAACGGCGATGGGCATATGGCACTCAGGCAGTGTTTTGAGGACTACGCGAACCATCCTGTTATGGAGGAAGGTTGAGGCGCCGGTCTTGGTGCAGACGAGGGAGTGGGCTCGGCTCAAGCGGTCCTTGCATGGTAACAATGCACCTGCACCACAGGGTTTGCCTGTGTCGCAGTCTGCTCGATTGTAACTCCGTAGTACACGACCGATTGACTCTTGATATAGATCAGGCAGCAGTCTTTCACCTGCTGACAACCCTTGCGTTGTCAACCACGACAAACTCCCTTGCCTTTCGCTTCCTCCAAGCGGATCAATGCTCTCTTCTTTGACATTTCCTCGCCTGCTTACCTTCTGCAAGTCTTGTCTCCACCATGTGACGCACTGCTGCATGGAAGATTTCGAAAGGAGAGCTTGGGCTCCAAAGGCTTGGGAGTGTTGACGAAGTGCATTTCGGCTGTAGGTAGACCGTGGATGATGTTCTACGTCAGGGTTTCCATCTTCACAAGGTTTTCCCGCCTTCCCTGCTTCCAACAGGTAACCTCCTTTGAGGGCGGGGGTTAACTCATCACTTGTGGCAAGTTTAGCCCATGACTGCCCAACAGCCTTTTCAAGTTTGTCTTTGGTGATGATCTCCTCTAGGTTCTTGAGTGTGTCAATCAGAGCCAATCCTGTCGGTAGCTGGGCAAGTCGGGGTAGACATTGCTCAACTGTGTATCCTGTCGATGCTTTCACCAGCGCTTGCCCTGCCACAAAAGCCGATTCTCGAATGAAAACATTGCTTGTGATTCCTAGTCCCCCTTCACGCATGGGTAGGTGCACCTGTGCCCGAGCTGTCCCTTTGAAGAGATCTACCTCCTCGCTCTTCGTCGGGTCTGCGCGTACTCCTTCGTCCGTTGGTATTCTCATGCTGTTGGCCACCTTGCCAAGGACGAACTTACTAGTTGCCCACATCATCATGTTGTCATGTTTTCTAGTGGCACACCAGATAAACGCAGCAGTTGATAGCTGGCTTAAGGGTCGTCAAGCGTTACTAGGCAGAGTATCAATTCCGCCGTGTCACCACGGGCGAATTTGGAAACGAAATTTCCCTGCAACTCTTCCGTCCCTACTGGGATCCCGACTACTGGCATGTCACCTTCAGCAACTGACAGACCAATTTTCGTCATCTGTTGCTCTTCGTCGTTTGTCAAAGAGGACATGCAAAGACCTTCCGGGAAAAGCACTTTGGATTTCGGGAGACTGAGCTCAATCCCTTTTTGGGAGAGACGTTCCTGAATCCAATTCGTTACAGTGGATATGGCCTGCATGTTCCTAGCCAAACCTGGTGGAAGATGTGCTTGGAGGTCGTCGACGTATCCGATGAGTTTGACTCCTGGCACAGGTGGCTTGTTGTTGAACTCTTTCATGATATCAAAGAGTCCTACACAGAAGCCGATCCCTCCCAAAATANCTGTTCGTCGTTTGTCAAAGAGGACATGCAAAGACCTCCCGGGAAAAGCACTTTGGATTTCGGGAGACTGAGCTCAATCCCTTTTTTGGGAGCACGTTCCTGAATCCAATTCGTTACAGTGGATATGGCCTGCATGTTCCTAGCCAAACCTGGTGGAAGATGTGCTTGGAGGTCGTCGACGTATCCGATGAGTTTGACTCCTGGCACTGGTGGCTTGTTGTTGAACTCTTTCATGATATCAAGAAGTCCTACACAGAAGCCAAACCCTCCCAAATTGCAGCCTTGTTGAACTCCGCGCTGTGAAAGAACAACCTCGATCGAACCATCTTCCATTTTGAACAGAAGTTTCGCCTTGGTTCGAGCGTAGATGTTCCCGAAGTACTTCACCAAGTGTGGCGTATGAGTGGCCACTGCTGGCAAGATGGAAGATCTGCGCATGCTGTTGTAAGCGTTTTTCCCATCAAAGGAGAGAATGGTGCTGCCTTGCTGGTGGCTGAGGGCTGCTGTGGAAGCCATCATCTCAACTCCTCCTGGAACACCACCTCCGAACTGGTTTGCTACTTCGAAGATGTTAGCAATCCCTCCCTTGTACTGGCGGCAGAAGCTGCCGCTGATGATGCGACGCAACACCCCTCCAACTGCAATCGGCCGTTTTTTCTCTCCCAGCGCTGAAAGGTTGGCACTGGTGTGGAGGTTCCAAAAGAAATCCGGAAGCTCGTCTCCGTAGTAGAAGACTTTAAAGCTGAAGTCCGCCAAGGTTTCAGTAAAAAAATCACTCATTCCACCAGCTTGGAGATACGAAAAACGAAGGCCATCAGGGCCCGGAGCACTCTGAGGGTTGGCTTTCTTTACCGTCTGCTTGATGAACTTGATTTCGAATGGTTCGTCAGCTTCGGCGACGGAGTCGATCTTGTGCGTTTTTATACGATCTCCCGCAGCTTTGATGCTGGAATCCCACGCAGTAGCAATATCGTCAGGATCTTTGTTAGGGTTTAGGTTGCGAGGATGATCCAGCGTGTAGTTGTTGCGCGGTTAAGGTGCTGGGGAGATTCAGGCATGGGCAGCTTTAGTGATGCCTCCGCTTTCGTGCGCAAGTCTTGTGGCTCTTCTTTGGCGATTGTCTTCAGTATCCGCATAATACTGAAGTCGACGATTCTTCTCGTACATCATGAGCCAGGCGATAGGTTCACTCAGATCACCATTTGCAAAGCGGTTAAATCGGGATACCCTGTTCATCCTTTCATCAGTCGACCCATGGCAATGCTGGGGTTAAGATGAAGCAACTTTGTTGCTCCAACAAGTTGGAGTTGTCTTTCAACACGTGCTGCTTTATATATTTCCGCTGCAAGAGGAGGCATATCTGAGGTATCTGACTTATGCTGATCGATGTGTACAGCTCCAAATGCTTGCACGAAGAGGATGACGACATGTCGGAAGTGTTAGCAAAATACTTTCGCCAGTTGCGGATCGACGTGTTGACTGTCGAAAAAATTGACGTTTCAAGAGTATCTTGTCGAACCTGATCCAGGGCACTGCTGACGTCGTTGAGGTCCCACGGTAATAGGAGTTGCCGCCTGTCATCATCATCCTCTTGCGATGACTGCAACGACCCAGAGAGAGATGGAGACGACGTAGCACCTGATTCGCAACAATGCTTGGTGCGTGGAGAGAAAAGGTCGCCGCATGTGCCACATGCGGCGTAACCAGGTGCTTGGCTGCTCGAGCGCAAGGATCCAGGAGAGGACAAACTGAGTAGTAGCTCCTTTCCTCGACCTTTATGCTGACGTTTTTAGTGTTTAGCCAGATTCCTCGCCGTCAGGTTCGNTCATCATCCTCTTGCGATGACTGCAACGACCCAGAGAGAGATGGAGACGACGTAGCACCTGATTCGCAACAATGCTTGGTGCGTGGAGAGAAAAGGTCGCCGCATGTGCCACATGCGGCGTAACCAGGTGCTTGGCTGCTCGAGCGCAAGGATCCAGGAGAGGACAAACTGAGTAGTAGCTCCTTTCCTCGACCTTTATGCTGACGTTTTTAGTGTTTAGCCAGATTCCTCGCCGTCAGGTTCGTTATCCTTCGCTGATGCAGAGGGGACATGAATACCGTACTTCCGTTGGGCATCGTGGCGCAGGTCCAGGTGCAGGTGAAGGTGGTGCCAAATCTTGGTTCATGACACCACTCATCGCCGATGCGACTGGAGGCTCCAGTGCAAAGCGATTCCACGTCAGTCCATCAGTCTACCGCTGCTGCTGCTACTACCTTCCACCACGCTACTGAGCGTGCGTGGTGGAAGTGGTGATCTCACACGAATTGGCCAAGGGCTGTGTGTGTGTGTGTGTTTGTGCTCGTCACGTTTATTTGGCCGCCAGTTTACACCTACATGTTTGCGAATGTGTTTGTCGCACCAGCCAGAGGGAAGGAGGTAACAAGCGCTGGAACTTTCTTTTTCACAGCACTTTCTCCCATGATACTTGCTCCGCGTTTTCCGCTGCTGTGTGTGCCGTGCTTGCGCTTGGTGAATTTGTCGTAAACAGGGTCCCCTTTGACACGAAGGAGGAGCAACGCTGGGGAGGAGAACGGGAGAGAAAGGAAAACGCACACAGGGCGCTGCTAAGCTTGCGACAAGTTTTCCCCAGGGAACAAAAAGGACAAGCAAAGATGCTAAAAAACATGGTGAGGTATAATAACGATAGCAATGGGCGCATATAGAGATGTGATAACATCATACAAGATGTGTTGATTGTGAAGGCAACGGCTATGAGAAGGTGGAGGAAGTTCTGGCGTGTCGTGCTGTCCACAGGTGCTCGGTGCTACAACGCGATGCCGTGTTGCAGCACCTGCTGTGATGCTCTTAAGAAGTCGGGGCACGTGTTGGTGTGTGGAGGACGGGAAGTACGTTGCAGCACCTGCTGTGATGCTCTTACAAGTCGGGGCACGTGTTGGTGTGTGGAGGACCGAAAATACGCCGGTGTTGGTGTGTTGTTTGCTGTAGTGCCTTGTATAAACCGCGGTCCGTCCTCCGATCAAAGGCGGCGTTATTCCGCGGGTTGCTTATCGCTAGAGACTACGAACGTGATCTTGTTGATTTCGATTTGCTCGCGTACCTATCTGGCACACACCGGCACGGAGGGGAAGGGAGAAATCCCCAGGGTGTAGTGGATTGCCAAGCTCTCCGGTTCGCTCGACGACTTTTTTGACAAGGACTGTCAGTGATACCGCTGTCGACGATGTCTTTGCCCAGCTAAATAGTTCTCGATGAAAAAGGTTTGGCAAACGCGAAGATTTTCGCTGCCAGCCCTGTGGCTCCGATGTGCTGTGTGACGATGTTGAGGATGGGTGTCGGAAGACCAGGGGATAACGTGGATTCCGCCAGGAGGCGTGGCGCGTGTACTTGTACGACTGTCATCTACGCGGCCATGAAGTCGTACTTCGCCCGTACTTTTATTCTGCTGTGCCTTGCAATGGCAAGGTGCTCTCCTCAGGAAACTTGCTGTGATGCCCCCCCCCACGGGTTGAGTGATGTTGGAGTGCCGGACACATAGACACGTTGAATGAGGATAGACACATATTGAACCTCACAGGTTATTTGTATTGGAGATTGCGAGACACCTAGACGTGTTGAGTGAGGATAGCTGCATACTGAAACCTCACAGATGCATTGGTTTTTGCCAGACACATAGACGCGCTGAGTGGGGATAGCTGCATATTGAAACCTCACAGATGGATTGGTTTTTGAGTTTGCCAGACACATAGACGC